GTTCGCACCTTGCGTCGCCGGACGCTGGCTGCGGAGTTGAAAAGGGGGGACGTGAATAACACGACACGCAAGCCACGAGCAGGCATCGTAATTACCCCCCCCCCCCCGCAAGGGGTCGTCGTACGCTTACGTGCCAACTACGGCAAAAGTGATGTCTCCGCCTGGTATGATGTGACGGCGCAGCGGCTAGCGTTAAACCGTGCGCGTTATGGCGAGCCAAGGAAAAAAGGCGTGTCGTCGTTAGTTGTCGAGTGCCGCGGACGCATCTTTCTATTTGTTTGTTTTTTTCTGTCTCATTACGCTGATGCGGAAATTCCACGCGCTTGCGCTTAAAAACAGGTCCTGCCGTTGTTATGAAGTGATAGTTAAGGGCTTAAGAAAAAAAGTGAAAGGCAACGTTAAAGCTTTCCTCTATTGAGGGATGATAGGGTGTCATAAGATATATCGGAACCATGGCAGTGTTCCGGTGTTACGAAGTTGTAAACATCGCAAGTCCGCACATTGCTTCCTGGTACGCTTCGAGTTGGCGAGTAAAGTATGCGACACTCTGAATGCTCCTACTACTTTGTGTCTACGCTCACAATGCAACTCCCAGCTCACACTACATTTGAGCTAAACGCACTATCCCTGGCGCAATGCTTGAAAGATGAAGATTAATCAGAGAAGGGAAAAATAAGCGCCACACGTTACATTCGCTTTTCATTTTTTCGTGACGCGCACCTGTAAATTATGTTTAATGAGGAAGTCAAAGTTCACTAAGTGTATACGTTGAACTGCTGCTACAGAATTTTAGGAATACAACTCGAGAAAAAAGAAACGAGAGAAAAAATATATTTCGAAGCTCGCACTAAGCCGCGCAAGGCTTGAAGCAGAGAAACTCGATGATTCTGAAGACAAATTTGCTTGCATTTAGGTTGCTTCTAATCCTTAGCTAGGCGATGCAGGTCGTTTCGATGTCGTTTCTTTGTCATTGCTAGACTTCAACAGGTATAGAGCTAGGTTACTTCAGCGTTTATTCTCAGCGTGCAGAGGTTCAAGTTGAACCTCGCACAGACGCACTCGTTGCACGGATCTCTAATTCCAGAGACAGAAGTCTCGCGCTCAAAGCAAACGTTCACACCCGATGATGATATGATGATGATCGCATCTGTCGTCGATGTACGGGCTTGTCATTGTTGGCGTAGGCCTTCCATCTCTCCGGGGTCTTCTCGCCGCCGCCATTTCTTTTCCTTTTCTCTAGTACTGTTTTTCAGACCCGGGTTCTTCGGTTCGCCGGCGTCGCTTCTGGCCATTTGTTGTTGAGCCAACAGTCACGTTCTTCATCTTTAGCTGACCAGAGGTGAGAAGTGGAACCGACCCGATTTCTGTGGTGCATACCCATTCGTGATGGTGATCTTTTTGTTACAGGTTACACAGACAAATTACGGCAAGCCTGTTTCACTGTTTAATATTAAAGTCCTTTAATTGCTTAGTGTTTCACTGCCCAGCTCGTCATCACCGCAGTGAAGTGGCACCGCCGGATTAAACTTGTCCAAGCTTTGACGTCTGAATTCGTTCGGCCATAATCGGCATCATGCGGGGTCTGCTAGACAAGCTGGTATTCCATGTTTTCCTATGGCTAACAAAGAGCGCGAATAATATCTCTACGAGCTCTCCGAATATAGGAAGTCATTGGTAGATGCCGTGGTCCGAGCCCGGGCGACCATACCTGAATATTCTGCATGTTCAGAACAGTTAAGAATGCCTCCCATATCTTTATGCAGCTTCTAACAACTCTTTCACACAGACAGAGAGGGGGAGAGAGAGCGAGGGAGGAAGAGAAATAATTACAGGGTTCGTTAGGATTTCGTAAGACATCGTCGAGGGCGATATTATTGTTATTTTTTTTTACTTTTGAGTCGATTTTACTTACATTATTATTATTATTATTATTATTATTATTATATATTATTATTATTATATTATTATTATTATTATTATTATTATATTATTATTATTATTATTATTATTATTAAACACCTGTGGTTTTACGTTTTGAGGCCGTGATATGATCATGAGGTACGACACAGCGGTGGGCTCCGGAAATTTCGATCAGCTGACGTTTTTCGACGAGCCCTAACAGTCCATAGCCCACGCACCTCTCCATCGAAATGCGATCGCCACGACCGGGATCCAACTCTAAATCTTAGGTCAGTAGCCCGAGCACTGAAACCATTATACCACCGAGGTGGACTCACACAGAAATGTTCCTTTACGGTTCGTTATGACAGGCCTTTTTTCGCTGAAAAACCACAGTGTGCTGGGTCGCCGTGTCATGATGCTGTTAGGATAAATGTGCCCGCAAATCATCGTGCGCAAATAAATATATATCTAGTCGTCTTATTCCTTATTCTATTGCTGGTAGCGTTGTCGGAAGGTAGGGCCCCTGCGGCTATGTACGTATGAGGCGTTGAACAAGAAAAAACAAAGAATATTTGTTTTCGTAGCCCTCAAAGAAATCAACCAATTCAGTCTATCCAGGAGAAAAATGTGGCCCGTTTTTTGCCTTCGGTTTTTAGGGAAATACATACGAGGCTGGATGGCTTTCGATTTCTTACCCCTTTTTTTATTTATTTTGTCTAGTCTGCGTAATCTATATGGTGTTGGTACAACGCGCGCTACATTCGATGTCATCCGGGTATCAGCGCACGAGCTACGTCACGCACGTACCGACGAGGCAGCGGCGCTAACCGCGTCGCAGCGTCCTTCTGCATGATCGGCCTCGACGACGTCCGTCCCTGCAGCGCCGGTTTTCCCACGAGGCGCTCACTCCGGCGGCGAAGGCGAAACGCGGTGTAAATCAGGCCGCCTTCGCCTCGGTTAGCTTCGCCGCATTGCCTCATACTCCGCTGGCCGTGCGGCGCGGCATCTGGCAAAGGGCCGCCACCACCGCTCGAGACCGGACACGTCCGCGGTGCGTTCGTACACGCGCGAAATATTTGCTGTTGCGAATCTGCCTCAGGCCGCCGCTTGCAGAGGATACGCGGGCAGCGAAGAATCGGTAGTGGGCGGGAAGGTGGCGTAATTCTTGCGAGCCTCGATGGGACTAAGCCAAAAACTCATTGACGCAATAAACGTACTTTTTTCTAAATCTCTTTGTCCGTCTACGTAGCGCTAATCTTTTATGCATAGTATATTCAACAATGTTTATTTGAAAGGTTCTTTTTTGTTGCTGCTGGTGTAAATCGACGCTGATGTTTTTTTCCGTGTGGTACATCAGATATTACTGGTGTTCACGCGATTCTGACAGTCCACTGCAGCTAAGCTATTGACACATCTACCGTGTTGCTTTCCTCCTATACTTCTTCTTGCTGTCTTCGTCTCTTTCGTGAAGGCTTTCTCTTACTGCCACTTTACATTTATACGGTGAAGATTACTCTATAATCGTGAAAAGCGGTTCTTCAGTTGCAGTTTTTTTTTGGGGGGTGGATGGGGGGGGGGGTATATATTACCGTTTCATAAGCAATGAGGCGAGTCGACCACGTGATTCACGCGTAGAAATGTAAGATACAAATTTTAAGATTTTTGCGCTCAGTGATCTGATCTACCTGCCACCAGCATATGGTGAGTTAATCAGGAGGTGAGCATTGACAGGGTCGGTGCCTGGTCAAGTGTTTCTGCATTAGGCGCCCTGCAGTTCTGGGGGGGGGGGGGGGGGCGGTGGTGCCTTATTTGAATCCTTGTGGTAGCGACTTGCTTCATAACGATGGCTCCGTGAAACAACTTCATGTAGCGTGAATGAACTGACATTTCAAGCAAACAATGTAAGTGGACACCGTGGTGCCAGTTAGCACCGCACCGGGAGAAGTCTTTATAAGCACGTGGTCGGAACAGCATGGCAGCGCAGCTAGTGCGCGTACAACCGCCACGAAAACCAGAAAGAGCGCCTTTCATGCAAGTGCCCATACTTTCCCCGGTTTACAGTGATTAGATTTGTTTGGAGAAAGATCTGCAATTTTGGCATTCTGTTGATAAAAAGTAATTTATCATGGCGCCTCGTGAATGAGAACGCCAGACAAATGTTGGGTGAACATAGGTAAGAAGATGAACGTTGCCTGTGAGGCGAACAAAAGCGTGGCGTAAACTGCATGCTTATCAGCCCACGGTCTTGATCCTAAGATACTCCGAAGCAGCCTGCCGCTAACGCATAGCGACATGTTCATAATGTACATAGCAATTTAAATTGATTCCCATCATTCTTTTCTAAATGCACTGACTTTGCTACGTGTCACCGCTATGGTATTATGCGCCTGTTCTAGCTCTTTCTGACGTACGACATTGACGCTTCCTTCAGCTATCGTTTGAGTGAACAGTTGCATCGCAGGAACTACTGTCAGTTATAGCGAGCGGTCCGGTATAAGCTCGAGGCTTCTGAGGAACGATACTCCATTGGTCGCAGTTAGCAATCCGTCCGGCGTGGAATCAGCGCAAGGTGAAGTTGTCACTTTTAAAGGGCCGTGTTTGTTGGCAGTTCAAACGAAATAGATGTTCATATAACTTTCCCGCGTGTTTGCATAATGTGTCCGCTTCCGAAGGGTTATGGTTCGCTACAAGCGGTAAGTGAGTCTCGGCAGCTTACGCACCCGAGCTGCGCGGCTGCCGACCGGGCTGCTTTCGACATCGTCGGCGGCGACATGTTACACCGGCGAAGCCAGGCGGCCGACTGCTGTGCGGCCGTAGGGTGGACATCTGCGCCGCTCGAAGCTGGAGAAACCTGCCTCGCGCGCGCCGCCACCGTTTTTCTTCTTCTTCTACGCTGGTCTTAGCGTTGTAGTCTTCCTCCTCTTCCCCTTCTCGTACGGCCACCGCTTTCTCCGGCAGCTGTGACGTCTCGCGTGACGTCGTGCCTCACCTGGTCACGTGGTGCCTCGCTCGCTACTCCGCTGGCATGACTGACGAAAGGGGAGAAGCCTCCCCCCTTTTAGAGGAGAGGAAAAACAAAGCGAACAGGACGAAGAAACTGGGCGCCGCGTAGGTGATGGAGAAGGCGAGCCCAATCCCAGTCGCCCGACGATAGTCGCGCCGGCGGACTGTTGCTCCTCCGCGTCCCGCTTTTACGGCCAGGGAGAACGGTTTCGCGAGAGCCGAAACGTCGCGTAGTCTTCGACCCATCGAGTGCGACGTGACTGCGAGCGGGCGTCTTTGGCCCGACACCTCGGAAAGGCTTCTCCGGACAGCAACGCATCATCGCTGTGCTTTTTTTTTTTCGCCCGTTTCGAAACTACAGGAAGTGCGGTCGGCTCGCGGGAACGAGCACATTTATCAGTGGAGTTTCATCGTTCTGCTCTTGGAGGCGGCGGCAACATCTGACGGTGGTCCTCTGGTGTCCGACACTGGTGCTGCATGTCGCTACGGACCGCATCGCCCCGTTTGGTGTGTGTGTTTGTGGACGGGTGTCTCGCGGGTGTGCGTGGCCGGTCGGCCTGTACCGCTCACGCGGATTCCTGACGGATTTCTAGAAGAGCGAGCACATCGCGGTCGACGGATCGCGATCATACAGGTACGTGAGCCGCAGCAACTGCAACCATGGTACTCCCTTCTTTTCTTATGAGTATTACGGTTTTTTACGATTTTCCTATGGCATATATAGAGAGCTGTGGTAGGCGGCTGTGGACATCCGCGTTCTTCCGTTGCAAATATTTGCAGCCGTGAAGTGTGCAACCACAAGGGTGCGCCGGATGTGGCTGAAGCCAGCTATGATCGTGTGGAAGGAACTGTTTTGCACGCATTGCGTTTGTTTTAATGTGTAGCTGGTCAACATAGCAGTTAATGATAAATTATTTCGTCGGTCTATAAAAATAAACCACAATATCAGACTTCATAATATTCGATTCTTTTGCAACTTAAATGTTTCATATGCAAGCTAGTCTATTTGCATTAATGGGATGTTGATGTAACTTTCTCATTGCACTCTAGCTACTGTAGTTGTGTATTTCGTAATATTAATAATATTATTATTATTAATTGTAAACATGAGTAGCTTGCACTTGGTGATTAGAAGATAATGACTTAATTATTGGGACAATTTAATGCCAATAAATATTGCTTTGATTAGCCAGTTTTCCACAATAATGGTTTCCCAAGACTGCTCATACGGGTGAAGATTCTAACATGCTAATCACCTCATTAGGCGTTATTTCACGCAGAATAGTTAGAGATAACGTGTTCATGTGATCTCCCCAGCCTCCGTGCAACAACACCCCTGTCTGCTTCGCTTGCGTGATGGTTGTTTTTTTTTTTTTTTGGCACTGGGATTATTTTGTTGGCATAAGCGTAGCCATTGTCACACACTAAAAAAGCTATAGTGTTGCACCTGGCAATTCGTGCAAATAAAACAAAAAAGCAGTCATTCTAAAGACCTTATGTGCAAAAGGTACGGGTTGGAAGTCGAATTTGATAAATTGCGAAGGAAACGTGGCTTCGTGCTGGCATAGTATGTATACTGGATTCGAATGCACTAAAATTTTCTTCTCTAATTGCGTTTTTCCGCTATTTGTTAGGAATTGGTACAGATATGTTCAGTATCTTACTTATATTTTAACCGTAAGAAGTTTTTGTGGGTATGCACCCAGCTATATGGGGTAAATCTTAGTCTGCCGTGCCTTAAGTTAAGACTGGTACCGAACATAAGGCGGCATGAACTTTATTACACCTGTGTGCATCGTGAAAGATTTGTTTTAAATCGGCTTATAAACGCAGTTGACAGCCTAACACCACAAATATGGGTCAGAATCGGCACGGTAAAATTCGCGCAGCGCCTTTCGAGACGCAGCACGAAAAAGTAGCGCGCATTCACGATGTTTAAGCTCCTGGAATTTGCGTAACTCCTGAGGCACGTTTCGTTTCGCGCCGCGTCGTGTCGGCGGCTAGAGCCACTCGACAGGAAGTGCGCGGACTTGAATGTCTTCAAGAATAAAGAAAACAAACTACGAGAAAAAATAACGAGGATTGCTCGTTGCGATGGCCAGTTTGCCGCATGGGACAGGGAAGGCATGCCATTTGCCGAAGCACCATGCGCGGCATTTCGTCTTTTTCCGGCAGCGATATACGTCGGCGACGCTCGCAGAATCATTTGGCCGCAGCCGCCAAACGTCTGGCGCCGGCACATGTCTCGTACACGCATGATGCCCCGAGTCTAGTTTCTCATAATGTACGCCTTCCAAGACGCGTCGCGTAGACGAAAGTGCACAGGGCGTAATCCACGTGGTCGCCGCTAGCGAGAGCTATATAGGAAAGCTTCCAGCGTCGTACACAGGCGTATTCAAAACTATGCATCAATCGATACCGCAAGAAGTTATCGATGCAGTTCATCATGCCTCAGTAATAATGCAATGAAGGAGGCAACGTTAGCTTGCCAGTTCAATACCCGTACGTGGCCACATTAGATGGGTGTATATATAGAACAGGAGTACCTGAAAAGACGGGGATGTTTTAGTACAGACTATAGATTCACTTATTCTTCTGCTGCTCGTGGAATGCAAACAGATGCCGAAATTGACCTTAACTTGTTTGTTGTTGTGTGATGGTTCTTTTGCCGTCATCGTAGGTTGCGCTTTGGCAGGCGCTGTTAGGCATGAAACGAGTAGAAGAAAATAAAAACGAGAAACGTATATAGGATTTGTAGAGCTGTGAACTTCAATTCTGTTTTTTGTCACTGGTTGGTTTCGCTTGAAGTACTCGGTTAACGTTCGGCGAAGCCCCTTTAGCGTGAATAAAATGATCACAAGATGGCCAGAGGATGACTGGTCCTGCAATTTTTTGTGTTCATTTTCTTCGCGCTAAAATAGCTAGGCTGCTGCAGGTATTCGACAGTTCACTGTGTCGTATATTCTACACAATGAGGTGGGGTCAGCAAAAGAGCGAAAGAGAAAGTCAATACAAAAGTTCAAACTATGCACCAGCACTGGGCAATTGCCACGCGTGGCTTTCGCGACTGATTAGTTTAGATATATCGCTATATATCGACCTTCGCTTATATAGCAACAACGTGTATCCTGAACCACGACGACGCCACCTACACATGAACGGCCACTATAGCGTATACACGTAACGATGTCTGTATAGGGCGACCCGGATAACAAAAAAAAAATCGTTGCACGTTGCGTGGGATCGACTTCGTGTGTAGGCCACGTTGCGTTTCCTTTCCGAATGGCTGCACCCACACGCGACCATTCCCACTTGGGCTTACCATACGTGTTCATCTCGGTGTATAGAATGATGTTTTTTTCATTCTCTGAACGCACGGCGTGACTATAAATTTATGAAGCAAACCGATTTTATAAAGCAAACCCGTGCAATATAACGTTGCTAACGGCTGAGCGACGATAACCATGCGCATCAGCGAGTGTAAAAGCCTCGTTCCAAAAACCTTAATGGGGATCATCTTCACTCTTGTTAAAGAAACATTTGCAAGCTATTGCTAGAGAGAGGGGGAGAGGTAGCGACGAACTTAAATGAAAGGCTGCATAAATGTGTGTTATACCATAGACGATCGCGTGGAATACTGCATGCATTCGTTCTGCGGGCTGCTACGAGTATACATGTGCAGGCCCTCGCGGGAGCTTTGTACTTCTTCATCATCACTCACCTTGAAGAATGTTCAAAGTGAAGTAGTTTTCCTGTTGAACTTTACAAGACGTTTACAAGAATTTTCCACTAGTGATACCTGATTCGTAACGGCTGTCCTGCGCACCGCCAACGTGTTTACTATGTATGTGAACCGCTATGCGGTAGCTTGGGACCCACTGGATCACTTTTGAGACCGCCGTCTGCGGAGGCCTAATTATACCTGTGTTAAAGAAAGGACGTTTCCCTGCCGGGTACAGCGTCTGATATATCTCGGACCATGCTCGAGCAGGTAGCTACAATGGCTGTTACCCTAATACGCTAATGGCTTCCCCTTTTTAAAGGTCTTTGTGCATGGGCAGGTCTACAAGCCGCGGCAGCGTAATTGCATTTGTTAAGCGTTCCTCGCGACGCTTCCATAATTTAAGCGTTGGGACGATTCCGTGATCTCATTGTCCTGTCCAAGTCGGAGTGTCTCGTGTGGGCTCGAGTTTCTGCGAGAAGGCTGCAAGACTCTTCAACGGGGCATACTCTTATCCCGTAAACAGTTGGCGTGCCCCTCGCAACAAGAACTTTAGACGTTGTAAAGGCTCCTTTGTTGTACTTTCGCAACCGATGCTTGTGTGCTGTGAAGGTAAGGTGCGTTACAGAGCTAGTTTCTTACGTGTATCCGTTGTTTCATGAACGCTTGTTTGCCTTTGTTTATGCGCGAGTCAGACTTTGTGCGCACCTTCCAGGTGCATTTGCGACCCGTCTATAAGCCCTTGATGTGTATTGATTTCCTTCTATTGAAGCTCTGAAGCTCTTGTTCATTGGAGTGAAATATTACAAAGTATGTGATGCATTACATTATTTCAAATTCATTTCGGAACGGTGTTTTAGTGTTATCTTTATGGTGAAGTTTCATTCACGTGTACAGTGTTAGTTATTTCATGCGGGGGGCGAGCAAATATGCTGAAAATTCACCTGTTCTGTGCTTACAAATAGAAGGATAAGAAATACAGTACAATAGATTACGGGCCGGTGTAGAGATAGAACTGTTTTCACCCTCTCCCTTTCTTTTTTTATCATTCACATTTCGTGGTTGATAGGTTAAGTAGATAACATTGAACAGAAACCGATCGGCCCCCCAAAATATTCAGGTTACTACACGGTCGCACCGGGTGCGTCGATATGTCTTCAGATTTCTTGAATATACTTCGTTGTTTATGGTTAGCAGCTAAACTGACTGATCATAGTTCGAATTTCGTGCGGGTCACATCGATCACATAGTCGCTTGCCTTGCTGTAATGTCATCACACATTACGGCTACATAAAGCCTTAGCATACACGCATCAGAATGTTGTTGCATACGTTTTGAACGACAGATGTGTATGTATTGCGCGTATGACGTACGTGTGAACACATTATACATATCATCGTTTGCTTGCCGATCTCTTTAAGATGTCATTTCCGGTTTAACTTCAGGCAATCTTAAAACCTACATATCAGCTTTCGCTCCTTCGAGCTAGAATATTTTCAATTTCGTATAGTCTCGCGGTTGCCGATACTTTATCGAACAGGCTCTTTGTAGGCGATAGTGTGTCATGCCTGTATGTGTGCGCTATATAGGCGGCGAAGTCTCGATAATGATCGTTCACACGACCGACGTCCTCGCGAAACTGTACCGAAGGACAAGCGCGATTGTTCTCCGTCCTGTACGCCCACCGGCACATACAATTACAGCTGTCGGCAAAGTTCTGCGCACTTAGCGTAGACGGTGAGAAAGCAGAACACGGATCGCGCGCTACACGTGTGTTGATGTGTTTATGCTTGTGTTTTTTAGAGAGGGGAAAAATACACAGATTTTAAAAAATAAACGCGCGGAGAATAGCTAACACATATTCGGTCAGCTACCCTACACTGTCGTTGTTGTAGGAAGACTCGGGAAAGAAA